CTCCACCACTCTGCCCCCAACCACCTCTGAGCTCCTCACTACAGCCCCCACCACCAACCTGCCCCCCACTGCCCCAGAATCTGCATCCCCAGCACCCCCTTGGCCCTCAAGCACCCCCATGACTCCCACCACCACTCCTATGCCCTCATCCCCTGTTCCTCCCAGCCCTCTGCAAATCACCCCCTGCCACCAGCCACCCCGTCTCATGGGGGATCCCCCCCTCTGCACATGCCCCACCCCACCCCTAGTGTTGCCCATGGCTGGGGGTCAGCAGGGGAGGCAGGGCCCACGGTGGGGCCAGTGGGTGCTAGCCCATTGCTGTCTGCTGCACCTGTTGCTCTACCTTGCCTCCTTGCTACTGCTGCTGCTGCCCTCCCTGGCTCTTGTGGGCTGGATGGGCTGGGTATGTCTGAGCTGGTATCGCCCAGCTGCGAGGACCCCGCCAGGGGCAAAGCTAGTGCGGTACCAGCTGCTGAGAAAGGAGGAGCAGGCAATTCCCCCCATGATGCATTTCAGCAACTTCAAGAGCCCCACTGAGCCCCAGACCTTCTGCACCACCAAGGAGCTGCAGATCCACCATGACCCCCCTGTACCCTCCTTCCGACGTGTTACCAAGAGGCTGCTGAGTGTGGTGGGGCTGGGCCCCTGGCGGGCCCCTTCTGCCTACAGCCTAGACAGGGGGGAAGCAGCTATTGGGGCTGTCAGGGTCAGATATGCAACCAGCACCCTCTAAGGGCAAGGGGGCAGGATACCTGAGTTCTAATGCCAGTCCTGGGGAGGAAGGTCCTTTTGGGATAGGACAGGGGGTGCCTCTTGCCAGGACGCCTGGGTTCTAGTTCCAGTTCCATTGCTGTGACCTCACCTGCACCAGGGACAAGACTCCGCCCACTGCTGCAGTAGCTGGGATGCTCCCTTAACCCATGTAGAACCCAGGAGTCCTGACTCCCAGGTATCCCTCCCCCTTCAGACCAATGAGCCCTTCTATCTCCCCAATGCATACATCTGTTTGGGAGGCTAGGTCTGGAAAAATTGTCCAGAAAAGCAGTTTCTTCCCTCCCCCACCAAAATAGGGCAATTTGGGCTTGGCTTCTGGCCTGGCAGAGCCCTGTAGATATTTCCTCTGTTCTATATGGGGTCTCTCGTTGTTCTTATGCTTCACATATCTAGCCTGTCTTGAATCCTGTGGCAGGCAGTTCCATTGGCTGATCACAGAATAAAGATTTTCCCTGGGTGCATTTAAAATAGGTCACGGTTCAAAAACACTGGAGCCGCTTGCAGTTCTTGCCAGAGGTAACTAACAGTGCTTAGTTTATCAATTGGAACTGGCACCTCCTAAATGGCAAAGGCCCCATATCCTATTTCTAGGCGGATCAGAAACAGCAAGCTCTAGAGCAGGGCTACTCAATTTTGAAAGCCCCAGAGGCCACAATAATACTTGCAGCACATGCTGAGGGCTGTAACTTAAGTGAGGTTGCATATAATGCAAATATACATGCAAATATGTGCAAATAGCTTCTTTCACACTGACGGGCATGAACACCAAGTTTAAGCCTTAAGCCATGGTACTGGATCCAAATATGACCAATGTGAGCCAGTCAGCACCTCTCAGGCTCTGTCCACAAGGCTAAGCAGCCAGCACTTCCCACAATGCACCGGCATTCTCGGCACTTCCTTTCAATGCTCACCCCACTTGGGAGATGCCGCGCCATTTTAGAGCATGTTCCCAGAGAAGGCCATGTTCAAAGGATCCCACCTGTGAGCCGCATGTTGAGCCCCGCATGAACCCAAACCAGACCTCAGGCAGCAAACAAATGGGCCGTAGGCCGAATGTTGAGTAGCCCTGCTCTAGAGTGAAAAAATACCCATATCCCAATCCCCACCACCCTGATCTGGCTAGATCCCCACTCTGGGATCATATGAGTGCCAGAGCTGCCTAAAGGGGAAATGTCCCATCTTGCAGCCCTCTGAGACAGCCAATCTGTAGCTGGATTGGAACTGGTGTCCTCCAGAAAAAAAGGACCCTGTGTCCTACTCCCAACCCCTCTCAGCTTGCAAATCACTTGCTCTAAGGCTAGATCAAAGCTGGCATCCCCTAGAAAGGAAAGTCTCTGTGATACACTCGCCAGTGCCCTGAGCCAGACAGTCTGATGGGAGCTAAGATTAGTGCCCTGTAGAGAGGAAATCTTCCAGATGCACTAAACTGGGACTGGAGCAGTTTCTAATTTCTATTTCTTCTGTAACTAACACACACAAATGAATTCAAACCCCATTTCATATAGGGAGAGCTCAGCCCAGGGTGGATTTTCAAAGAGTCTTAAAGAGAAATTATAGATGGTTTTGTGAAGATGTGAGGAGTGTAATGTTTTCCTTTGTTTTTCCTGCCTTACAGTTTCAGAGCCAGAATAAATTACAGTCCAGGCTTTTAAGGGGTATTGCTGGGGGATGAGGGTGCTGGATAGGACAAAGATGTCCCTGTCATGGAGACATCAGCCACCTCCCAACAACATCCCTTGCAGCAGCCCTGTGGGCAGCCATCTGAAATAGGCTGTGCATTGATCTGTACATGGAAAATGGTATTTTTCTGTAAAATCCAAGAGGGACATGAAATGACCAGGTGGTGGCACCATAACCTAAGGAATGAGGGTGAAGGACTCAGACCAGCACTCAGTGTGAGAAGTGATTACACTCCAGTCTCCTGGGATGAACCATCGGTAACAGTGACTCTCCCCAGGGAGCCAGTGGCTAAGAAAATTAACAACAGTGGCCCAGTAAAGCATCTGTGAATGACCTGGAGGGTGAACACAATTTGGCATGATTTGAAATATAAATTAATTTATAAAACCCCAAGAGTGTTCTTGGCTAACGTGAGAGGGGGAAAACTGGCCATGTTGAAGAGAACTGATTCCCTTTGTCCGCAATGAACCTTAGGCCTTTAGCATTAGAAAGGGATAGGTGCTGTGGAGCCTGGTTAATGCAGCTGGTAGCTCATGCAACTTTTACTATCAAGCCTGTGGGTTTAAACTCACCCCCAATAGGATGTTCCTTTTCTTTGTTTTGTTAAAGCAGATACAAGCGCCCGCTAAGGAATGGAATTGGATATTTTTTTATTCCACATAATGCAGAGCTATTTCCTATCTATTTTCCTAGGGATTATTCTGGGGGGAAATGGAGAAATCCTCTAAAATATCTTTGTCTATGTTTAAACTACCCCAACCCCAAACTATCTCCTTTTGCCTGGGAGAAAAAGAAAAGCACTGTTCTCTCTCAAAGTGACGTACCACCCTGGGCTCTGTCTGTAGTTTGGAAGTTGTACCATTCTGTGTGTATGTGTTTCAGCCTCTCTTCTAACCTGTGGCATCAGAAGAAAGATTTTTTTTTTACTTTTGTAAATTAAATAAAGGGCTTCTGTGTTTCTAAAGGGAAATGATCATTTCTGTAAAAACCCCCACCATTTTTTAATAAAAGGGAGTGCCATGAAATAACTACATGATGGCATCAAAACATCAGGAAAAGGAAGCAACAGGCTGCCAGTCTGCACATTGATAGTGAAAAGGGATGCACTCAGTTTCTCTTCTCTGTTCTCAGACAGAATCATTTATTTCTCAAAGAGTGAAATGCAATTTTAAACATCTTTCCAGGGCAGAGGAAAGGTTATTCAAGGGTATTTCTCTCAGGGGGCCTCCTGCCTTGAACAGCACTGCTAGTGAAAGGACTGATGCGATGAATAGGTAGCCCATGCTAGGGCAGACTGCTCATGCAGCACCTGCTGATGGAGAAGTGGCTTCAAACCCAGCACAGACACAGGGAGAACAGGTGGCTGCTTCACTCTTGTTTTAAGGATCTACACACCTCAAGCAATGTGGGAAATACAGGCCAGTGGCAAGGCATGTGCTTTCAATCTCTACCATCTTCTGAAAATGTTTGTTTTGATTAGCCCAGTGTGGGGGTAATCTGGACACAAATTTCCTACCCCTCAGACCTCTGCTGCACAAGAGCGGGCTTCCCATTCATGTGGGAATGTTCCCTTCTTCTCCAAGACAGTACTTTGTGCTCATGCCTACTGGTGACTGAGCACTTTATGAATTAGACCTAAAATGTCCCTCTATGTAAACCTTACTCTGTTGAGCTCTGGTCCAGAGCTAGAGCCACCTTCCCCTGCTCTCAGTCTAGTGCCTTTCAGGGAAATTCAGACACATTCAAAAGCTGGATTCTTCCACACACCTCACTCTGCTGACACACCTGTATCCTGAGCTGCAGCTGCCAGCTACTCCAGTCCACTGGGCTAGTTGGGAGAACAGGCCAGTCTGGATTTTTTACTTACTGAAGCAAAATAAGGTGGCAGCAAATGTTTTTGGCTGATCAAAGACAATTTCATGACTTCTTAATCTTGGGTTTTTTTTTTTTTGTTTGTTTTAAAAATACCGGTTTCTCTAAATAACAACATCAAGAGAAATAAACATCCCCGTTTCAGTCCCTGCTGTGAAACGATGCCCTTAATCTCTAACCTCTCTGACACTATCCCTGGCATTGGAGAAACTTGCCAGAGTTTTGCCCTCTTGAGTACAGTTTGAACCACACGCATTGCCCTCAGGACAAACCTCACAGCACAAATCAGCAAAGACTCCATCGCAGCAAAGTCTGGGAGTAACCCAGCCCTGGGCTTGTGTTTGTTGAACAGGTCTGATGTGTACAAATCTGAGCGATCTTGGGAGCTGTGACATGGGGAAGTGGCGAGGTGAGGAGAATAATTATTCCCTCTGAGCAGCTGCAGCAGCTCTGGGGTCACTCCCTGAGACTGACAAAAGTGGGCGTGCTCACAGACCATTGTCAGATATCATCTTTTGGCTGATCAAGAAATAGCATGGCTGGCTAGCTAGGAGCCTCTTAGGGTTTGTGATTTTGACCACCACAATCCCCAGGAGATCTTCTGCCCACTACCTGGTATCAGCAAGAACTCTTCAAATTGGACGATCAGCCCTCAGGGCATGTCTAGATGTAACCCTGAGATTTTCCCTTCCCGCAGGCACATCCTGGAACCGTTAAATTGTTTCTTCCTGCCTCCTCCGCTTTCACTCTCACTTCCCCTTGCTATTGCTGACTGCTGGAGGGAGGGGCACGCTCAGAGGCCGATCGGAATCTGGCAGGACTGATGATCCCTGCCACGGGAACAGAACAAGGTGCAGAAGCGCCTCGTGGATCGAGTCTGATTCTCGGGAGGTCCTAGGGAGTCTGTCACCGTGGAGTCGAGCCTGGGTGGAGGAGCTGGGAGGCAGAGTGTGGCATTGTGGGAGCGGGGCCCTGCCCTCAGACGCTAGCTCCTGCTCTGCCCTTGCTCGGAGAGTCGAAGTAACTCTCCTCCCATTGGCAGCGTGGGGCGCTGAGGATTGGGGCAGCAGCTCTGCTAGAGGGAATCCGCCAATTGGAATCGCGCAGCACCCCCGACTTGAAGTGGTTTCCATGATATACAGCACTTACAGTTTGGTTTAGCGGCACCCCCACCATTAAAATTGTTACGGAGCCCCTGAATCTGTGCCCCATGGCAGCGCTTTTCAGTAGCATCAAACATTCAGAGGGGCTGAATCTGCAAGCTTGCGGAGTGTCTGGGCTGGGAGTGTTACTGCTAGTGTCATAATTATGAGGGTTAGCCAGCAGCCTAACTACACCTAGCCAGGTGGAGTGACCAGTAGGAATGTAGGTGGGACTTTCAAACTGGGACAAAGGAATTTGGGTTTTTTCCTTTCCCCTTTTGTCTCTCTGGGTGTGTTCTCTGCAGCTACAGAGAGGGACAAGCATGTCTCTCTCTCTCTCCAAGACACCATTCTTCATTTTATGTAAGTAGGGTAAAGTTTAGGTAGTTTCTTTAGGCTTTATTGTTTTAAGGGTTGGGTATGGGATCTGAGGTCTGGCACTGTTTAAAAAATGTTTTGGCTTTTCTTTGTAACTAAGTTCTAGGCCCATGGAGTTTCTCCATGGCTGTGTCTACACTGCACCCCCTTTCCGGAAAAGGGATGCAGATTAGACACTTTGGAATAGGCAAATCCGCGGGGGATTTAAACATCCCCCGCGGCATTTGCATTAACATGGCTGCCGCTTTTTTCCGGCTTGGGGATAAGCCGGAGAAAAGCGCCAGTCTAGACGTGATTCTCCGGAAAATAAGCCCTTTTCTAATCTGTCTAATCTGCATCCCTTTTCCGGAAAGGGGGTGCAGTGTAGACACAGCCCATGAGTATATTTTGTTACCTTCCTATCTAGTCATTATGCTTGCAACAGGAATATTGTTGTAATAATAAAAGTTCTTTCTTTTCTTTTTATTAACCTGGCAGTGGTTAATTGTGTGCCCTGATTTTTATTTTAGGGGTGAGATTTCCCAAATGATCTTTCCCCTGATTTCTTTATCAACATTTGGGTGGTGGCAGCGGAAGTTTTATTCCCAAGATCTAGGTTTTAAGATTTTGGGGGAAGTTTTATACCAAAGCCTGGTAGATAAGGCTTTGGGGTACACTTGCTGGCCCCCACTTCTGCATTTATCATGCCAGAGTGGGGAAGGAGCCATGACAGCTAGTGAAACCGGTAGCTCTGTGGGTGGAACAGGACTCATTTGGCTTGAGCATATTACAAGTTTTATCATGGTTGAATCCAACTGGAGTAGGCTTTCAGAGGGAGCCCAGGCAGAGGCAGCCCAGGTAGTCATGACGGTGCACTCTTCAGTGTGGTACCTGATCACATGCTGTTTATTCCATAGGACTCCTTGCCTCATCCCACACCCAAAGAGAACCAAGTTAAGGCTGTGCGTACAAGCCAGCATTTTGGAGCCTATGTAACAGGCTTGTACAGTGTTTTTTTGTAAGTATTATTATTTGTATTTGAGTAGCGCTCTGAGGAGCCCCAGGAATGGTACAGCTAGGGGCTGTGACACTGATAAGGACACCGCCTCCACAGAACTCACAGGCTAAGTATCCACGTTTTCAGAAGTGGAGACTTTGATTTCAAGACAGTTGGTGGAGTAAAATGAAGTGACCATCCAGACACAGGAAGAAAGAGGGAGCAAACCAGAAAGATAAATAAAAATACAGTGAAAATGGTCAGGACCACAAGGCCCTTTGCTTGACCTCTCTGGCTAAATTTAAGGTTCAGTGCATGGTTTTCATAAAGGGGCTACATGTGCACCTCTTGCAGGAATACCCACCAGGAAATGCAGATGGTTCAGGTGTGCCCTCCTGGTGAACCCTATAAAATTTAAAAATAAATTCAGTGGGGGTGGCAGGGGGCTCCCCGAAAGTGGGGCCAGGAGCACCATTGAGATTTGTTGTGATTACATGATTACTTAAACAATTTCTAACATCTAACAATGGGTAAGGACCCAAATGCACCCCACTCTTTGCAACAGAGTGAGGGAAGGGCTTGTCTATCCTGAGTGGAGCCAAAGAGCTTGGTTATGTGGGAGGGTGGGCAGGGGGCAGTCAGAGAGGGGTCTGTCTGTGCTGAGCAGGGATCTGAGGCTGGTGGCATTTTAGGGTAGAGGAGTGAGGGGAATAGAAGAGAGACTTTTGGGGTTACACCGAGGGGAGTGGGTATTGTGGGAACGGGGATAAATGAGGATGAGGTGGGGAGAAAGTTTGGGGGGGGCTCAGGTGGGGAGGAAGGACACAGGGAAGGCAGGAAAAGGGAATAAGGGAATTTGTGTGCAGCCATCTTGGTCTTGTTAACAAGAGAGCAAGAGTCAGGCTAAGTCTGTGGCCTGACAACACAAGATCTGTAATTAGACGCTGCCTTTGCCTCTTGCCTCCATAGGAAGATAGGGATAGAATGCTGATTCTGGCAGGGACCTTGAGATAAGGAGCATCTGGGTGGAACTAAATAACTGTTAGCCATTGGTGTTTGTAATGGGAAGGAGACTAATTGTTATTGTTATTATATCTAATAGACAGTATATAAACTGCTTCATAATTGCTTGTATTCGAAGATCTGCCTCGGAAGGGGGGGGGATCCCCCCTGTCCGAACCAGTTTTTCCCTTGCTGCAGCTCATAATAAAACTGCCTCTGGCTACTTGTTGCTTAAACACAACACAGAGTGAAGGCTTGTTTTCTTCCACAATTTGGTACCGTGACTCAGATGGCAACGCCCGATTGAAGACAGTGACAGTGGCTGCAGACCGTCCCCCTTCACCCTCATGGCACCAAACGAGAGGTAAGAGACCTTTTGAAATCTCTACTGGGGTGTGGAGGAGGACTGCCTGTAGGGTCGTCTGCTTCTTGTGGGCTCACGCCATCTGAACTTCTTGAATCTGCAACAAGGTCAGACGCAAAGCGGTTCCGGGGAGGTTGTTTTGTTACCCCCGAGTAGACCTAAGTTTATGCAGTGCTGGGAACTGCTGTGGTTTTGGTGGTGCCGCCCCGGGAACGGGAAGAAAATTGTATTGCGTCAGGACATAAAGCAGCTAGGTTCATGCAGGGCTAGGAACTGCTGTGGTTCTGGGGGGAAACGTGTTGTTTGCCGCCTCTGGAGGGAACAGTGTTGTTTGCTGCCCCAAATATGGACAAGGTCCATAAAGAGAGATGTATCTAAAAGTAGGAAAATTTCTGTGTGAAAAGCATGCTGAGTGTGAATGTAATGAGTGGAGTGTGAATGCCGCTGCCCAGGTCTCTGAGAAGTAAACTGATTCCAGCTGCACCAGGGCTCTCCCACGAGGGAGTTCTGAACGCAAAGGGGGTCAGCCGAACCTCGATACTGAGCGGATATGTGACAGAGTGACGACTCCCCTTATTTCATGAGCTGCTGATAAGGTCTGACACTCTAGACCCAGCAGACCCCTTCTTTAGAGTGTGTAGATTTAGTTTACCAACTGTCCCTCATAAATAAGCCTGTAATATTGTACATATGATTCTTTTCAGGAAAATAAAAGCTTTTTGCTTGCTAGAACAGTAACTGACCAACCAACACCTTGTGCTAAGGAAAAGCATTATAGCTTCACACATTAAGCCTAATCTGTAGTACAAGAGGGAATCTGAGGCATGCTACTGTTAGGGAGGGCTAGCAGCTCAGAGGTAATTCAAGGGAGTGGAAGGTCACAAGTACCGATGAAGCGCCCTTGTTCTCGGAAAGTTGCAGCTCACTCGCCTATGGAAGTGGTAAGGAACTAGCTGTAACCGGTTCCCCTAGCAGATCTTAGGCAATATTTTAAGTTATAATGGGCCACCCCGACGGGGGTAGAAATGTTTTCTTGTCTTTCAGATCATCAGAAAGTGCCGGTGCCAGCTGAAGAAAAACAACAAACAACAACAAAAAACCATGGTTCTGTGTCATGACAAAAAAGTTTGTGTTCTGTCCAAGTTTGTCTTGTGTGTCTTAATTGTAATACGTATTGCAAATATTGTTGTGTGCAGGATATTGTTTTAATGAAATGATCATTTGAGTAAAGCAGAAGCATTAATTTAAACCAACAAAATTAATAATTAGGCCCAATCAATTGGCAACTCTAAACTTAGTCAATTAGCAACTTTAAAATTCAGTGAAAGGATAATAGTTTAGCAATTGTTTAGGCTAGGAGAATGTTAACAATGTCTCCACAGGTAAAGAAAAAAAGAACTGGAAAGAAGCAAGGAGTGCATCACGTGAACAGAAGGACTGGGAGTGGGGTACCAGCCCTCTCCCCCACCAGATTGGTTTTGCTTTAATGGCTACACAAATTAAATATTTAGCTTCTTCAGATTTGCACACCAACCATAAAAGTGGTTTAGCCAGAGATAATAAGAAACAACATTCAAAATTATTTCAAAATAATGGAATGGCTGTGTAGGCTCTCACATTATTATTTTGAAATAACGCTAGTTATCTCGAAATATTGGTGTGTCTAGCACTCTTAGAGAAGAAATCAGTTCACATTCCATCATTTTGGGGTGCCAATAGTTGGTTTTGCTTTAATGGCTACACAAATTAAATATTTAGCTTCTTCAGATTTGCACACCAACCATAAAAGTGGTTTAGCCAGAGATAATAAGAAACAACATGGGCAAGTAGGACATCAGCATATTTAAGTAAAGATGTCCACAACAATGAGGAAACTAGTAACCTCACCATTGCAATAACAGCTACTTGCCCTGCTACTCATTGGTGCCTGATGCCTCAAAAGGCCTCAAGAATTATGGAATTGCATGGGTTAACAATTAAACATCTGTGAACCATGCTTGGTCCTATAAGAGAAACAGTGACTCTAGTCAACGTAACCTCCTTCAAGTCACATACATAGAACAAATACACGCTAATAGCAATGGGGAATACACGGCCTTGGGCCACCCCTCATTCACACATTTATTTTATTTATTGTAACAACATGAACACTACGAGGACAAGGAATACACAGTCCTCTGAGTTAAAGTTTGTATGGAATATTGTGAGAAAGAAGCTAAACACTAACATCAGGTCACTGAAGTTAGACCTACTGACTCCCACTGGGGCTTACCACTTAAAGCCCAAACAAAGGTAACCCCTGAGGCATGGCTATCATTTGTTAAACAATGGCCATTGCTAAGGGTATGTCTACACTACCCCCCTAGTTCGAACTAGGGAGGGTAATGTAGTCATTCGGAGTTGCAAATGAAGCCCGGGATTTGAATTTCCCGGGCTTCATTTGCATGATGCCGGCCGGCACCATTTTTAAATGCCGGCTAGTTCGGACCCCGTGCCGCGCGGCTACATGGACTAGCTAGTAGGACAAAATAGAGCCTCCCAATTGTGCATCATGCCCTGAACAGACCCTTCTCAGAACCAGGACAACTGTCACTGGTCCTTACCTTGGTGATGTTCCACACTGGTATAGACCAGCTGTGTGCCAGACTGGCTAATCAAATTGGCAAGTGCCGGATTAGGCAACGAAGGGGCTTAGCAGATACCATCGCAGATTGTTTGACTACCCAGACAGATCACTCCATCCTGCCCCTCTACATATCCGTCTGTGTGCATAACAGCCCCTCGCCGGATGATCCTGACCGTTAATGGAATGCGGCTCTATCGTACTTCGGCAGTGATGGGTAACCTAACATGAGATCCTGAGTGGCATGGCGGAAGTAAGTACCTAGAGGAGGGTTTTTATTGGCCCTGCAGGCAAAGATCGAATAGTTGGTGACCAATGCCCAAAGATATATCGGAGCTGGCCGTCTGAGGTACACACAGATAAGGAAACACCGTGGACCATGCCAAACACCTACCTCTGCAGCACTCAACCAGGCAGTAGAAGTCAAACCTATAATCATGAGCAGCGCCAGTAAGGCAACGAAATATCTTAGGGATAGATTTGAATAGTGTTTGCCAAATTATGTGGGAAGTTTCGATTATAACATTTATAATAGTGCTGGTGCTGTACTGGTACTTCCAGAGTAAATTAAAACCCCTTAAATTGTTGTATTTAACCTGGTGGGTTAAGGAGAACCCTAAAGTCAAGAGAAAGGAACTATAGGAGTAAACTGAGGCAGTCCATGGTATCTTGCTGAGAACTGACAAACTCAAATAATTAGGTCAGCCTGAGAAGCATACAGTACAGCAGTTACTGTGACCCTGGTTCCCCTGGCAACCACATTCCAGAGGGCCTCACTTTGATAAGGCCAGTACCAAACAACCGCGCGGGATTGTTTTTACGGTTTGCTTTATTCCTAGGAAATAACCTTAGTTCCAAAGGATCTAGCTAGCTTTTAGCTCAGAGAATAGAGACTCTTATGTCCATCAGCGAAAGACTGCTCTAGAAAGACCTTTACCAAGTTTTGCTAACCACCAACACCGCTGTGATGTGCCAAGAACTGACTGTTGGCCAATGCTTCTCGCTGCAAAAAGATCCCTCCATCTCGAAATGATCCTACCCCGATTGCTGATAAGCCTCTCTCTTCTGGTCCTGCTTTCCCACCTGCTGGACACCAGAAGAACCAAAATATTACAGGGTGATGTGCTGGTAACCTCTCCCCTGCATGATGCTGAACCACGACTGTTTCAAGAAAAAAAAAGAGGAAAAGTCCTCTCCTCTGACACCGTCAAAGCCCAAAGATTTCTGACTACAAAAAGACATTAAGAACTGACCTTGGTGAAAGAAGCGAAGTATTGTATATTGCCAAGGAAAAACTTGTAGGTGTAGTTTGGGTTTCTCCTTTTGATCTGGACTCTGTGCTTATGGACAGGTACCATCAGCACATACCTGCCCTCCCTAATTTGGGTACTAATTATGATATGTTGTGTTATGTTACTACAATTATAGAACAGCCCCCTCATAGAATTATATTAGGGATACTAATGATTATATTGCTTTTGCTTGTTAAAAGTTTCATATTTGATTGTTGTTGTAAAAGATGTAGTAATAGAAATAGCTTTTATGTTTGTACTAATTATGTAATGTTTAATGAAAATAAAGGTTTAGAAAGGTAATTGTGCTGTATGCACAAAAGGGGGGATTGTGGAGGCAGGAAAAGGGAATAAGGGAATTTGTGTGCAGCCATCTTGGTCTTGTTAACAAGAGAGCAAGAGTCAGGCTAAGTCTGTGGCCTGACAACACAAGATCTGTAATTAGATGCTGCCTTTGCCTCTTGCCTCCATAGGAAGATAAGGATAGAATGCTGATTCTGGCAGGACTTTGAGATAAGGAGCATCTGGGTGGAACTAAATAACTGTTAGCCATTGGTGTTTGTAATGGGAAGGAGACTAATTGTTATTGTTATTATATCTGAGAGACAGAATATAAACTGCTTCATAATTGCTTGTATTCGAAGCTCTGCCTCGGAAGGGGGGGGCCTCTCCTCCGTCCGAATCAGTTTTTCCCTTGCTGCAGCTCGTAATAAAACTGCCTCTGGCTACTTGTTGCTTAAAAACAATGCAGAGTGAAGGCTTGTTTTCTTCCACAGGAAATATAGAGGGGGAGTGGCAGAGGAAGTGGGAGAGAATAGCAGCAGGGGTATGTCTAGACCAGGGGTTCCCAAACTTTTTGACACGGGGACCAGTAAATCCATTCACAAACTTTTGGAGGACCAGTAATGTTCATTTGCATATTTGCATATTCATTAATCAAATTATGAATATTCAAATAAGTTGTTTCTGGTCCTCCCAAAAGCTCCAGTGCCAGCTTTAGCAAAGCTTTTGATATGGTCACCCACAATATTCTTGCCAGCAAGTTAAGGAGTATGGATTGGATAATGGACAGCTAACAGGAGAGTTTGGAGAGGGAGTTCTCCAGGTAAAAGAGGAGTAAAAACAGGACCCTTGTGGTAAGTGGCTGTCTGGAATGTGTGTTTGTGTGTGGGGGAGTTATTTGCTGTGTGCTGAGCTTCTGTTTGGTTTGTTTGTTTGTTTGTTTGAAGGAGCTTCTAAAAGGCTTGAAATCTTGAAGCCTCTGTTAATTGGCTGAGCCTCAGTCGAGGGGAGGGGCTACCAGAGCTATATAAGCCTGTGACTCAGCGACCAGGGAACTTGTGACCAGGCACAGCTAACAGGAGAGTTTGGAGAG